TTTTTATCTTATCTTAATTTCAAGAGTCACCTCGTGTATGAATTACATTTGAACTGAATGGATGGGAAAATTAATGATGGTTGGATGAATACCTGTTGTTGACGTTGGTCTCCTCCAGCAGCTGTTTGAATGGATGGATGAATAGATGAATGAATGGATGAATGGGAGTGGACTTCCGTCGGTGCACACACTCCCCCCAACAAACCAGTGAACATCCCGGGTTAGAGCATGCTAGCTGTGAAGTTACCATGGCGACGGAGCAGGAATTAATTAACGCCAGAGTTGTGGAACGAAGCTGTCACTTAAATAAACCAGAATTATCAAAGTAAACCAGGATTTGGGTTTAGCTACTTTGATGGACAACCCCAGCTGACCTCTGATAGGCTGTTGCTGTTAGCACCAGGCTCCTGTCAGACAAAGCTGAGGGTTAAGAGTTTTTGCTGTGGACTAAAGTTTATTCTCTGAGCTTCTTCATTCAGTGTTTGAGTCTTGTTCTGTCGACACAGATTCAGTCTGAACATCTCGAAACAAAAAACACAAAATTATTCTCATTAGATTTTAATGAAAATAACAAAAGCAACACCAATGAGCTGCTACTCCAGCTGATAATAATAAAGTGTTTAGTTAGAATTGTTCAGGTTAAAAAGTACAGTTTGTTCCAACAGGAACTGTGCTTCGACACTTTGGTTACATCATCATAGAAACATTGTTACATCGTCTGCATAGAAACATCGTCAATAAAAAACGTAAGTGCTTACTGAAGTATGTGCAAAACAAATTAATACTGTTGAAAACTACAGTGACACAGTGAGCGTCAAACTCTGTACCGCTAAAATAAGATCTGCTGCCACACACATAGGGGGCGCTGCAGGACCACAAGTGATCCAAAATGGAGGCTGAAGTTTAACATATCTCGGATCTCTTTCAGTTATCCAGCTTGACAAGTGAAAAATGGCTTCTTATGGCTGATCGATGTGACCCTGATATTCACAACAACAAAAACAACAGCGACACTGATCAGTGTCTTCAGGACATGACTGTGACAGGAAGTGAAAGAACATGATGAGAACACGGAACCTCATATGTTCTTCTCATAACAAGAACCAACAGCATCTTTGTTCCTTCATATCACAAAAATAAATTATTCTGGTTTGTTGTTTTTTTGGCACAGACAGCCTTGTCTTTCTCCTCCTCCTCCTCTTCCTCTAAAGACAAATGTTAATGTGTTTGGCAAGCTCTCGGTCGAGGTCGTGGATCAGGTTGTCGAAGTCCTTCAGACTAAGTCGACAGTTGAACGGAGCATCAAAGTCCAGGAAGTCTTCGACATACAGACCTCCTCCTCCTGAAGACCACACGTCCTTCTTCTCCACTTCTTCATCGCCGCTTTCTAAAACAACAGCAATAATAAGGAGGCGTGTTCAGACTATGACAGCATGAAATCAACAACCAGCTTTGGATGTAAGTTTACCTCTGTCACTGTCACTTCCTGCCACCTCGTCGTAGTCCGCCTCCTGTGCCAAGAGAAGGTCTTGACCACAGACACTCCAGTCTCCGGCGTAGCGGTTGATTGGCGGTGGACTCTCCAGTCGGGACTGACCACCTCGACCCCGCCGTGACACCACCACCTCCCCCTCAGGATTCTGAGGCATCGCTAATCGTAGCACAGGACGCCGCTGCTGCAGTCCCAGGGGATGATGGGGAAGGGTGGGTGAGGGAGGAGCAGAGTCGCGGGTGTGGTCATGTGCTGGCACTGAACAAAAGGAGATACAAACAGTACAACAAGAAGCAGAGCACAGTGGTGTCCATGGCAACAGCAGAGTTTAGAATAGTTGAGAATAAGAACTCATAGGCTGCAGCGCCCCCTGTCTCACCTGGCCACTGCTGCAGCAGGTAATGCAATGCCTCAATGTGTCGTTTAAAATCCACTGCACTCGCCATCTCTTCACCGAACCCTTTCCCCCTTGCTCCCCTCCCTCCTCCCCCTCCACCCCTCCAGGCCTCTTGGGTCGGGGTGAGGAGCACCGGGCCAAAGCAAACAGCAAGGTTCTGATGGGTCATCCTGTTGTATGAGCTGAAGGAAGCCACCAGACTAAGATGGTCGAGCAGCAACGACAGAGTTGCCTGGAGACACAAATGACCGAATCAGAGGAGAAGTACTGACCTGAACAACCACGGGGCTGAAAACCATAAAACTTAAAACTCAACCAGATCATTGATCAAAATGTATTCTACTATTGAGCCCTCAAAGGTCCGAGGTCTGAGGCCCCTGAGTCTGAGGCCTCTGAGTCTTAGGCCCCTGAGTCTGAGGCCCCTGAGTCTGAGGCCCCTGAGTCTTAGGCCCCTGAGTCTTATGCCCCCTGAGTCTTAGGCCCCCTCAGTCTGAGGCCCCTGAGTCTTAGGCCCC